GCCCGGGGCAGAGCCCACGGGGGCACGGGTGGGGATGGCTGCGAGTGTGGAGGCACTCCGGTTCATCACCCCGGGTGAGCTTCGTCCTCTTCGTTATGGATATTGACCTCCTTAAAATGCAGCCGGCTCTGCCTGACGAGGCATCGAACGAGTAAATACATGGAAAGTACGAGGCAGTGATGACCCACGTCACGCGAAAGGAACGAAATGAGTGAATTAAAAGAAGGATTTCTTTATAAACACAGTCCACCGAGTCAGCTGATCAATTTAATTAGAAGTTTTAGCATAAGGCGTGTCCTGGCTTGTGCTGAGGCAGTTAGATGCCCAAATGAAAGGGGTAGTTAAGATTTTGTCCCTAGTTAACTAGTTAAGATCTAGTCACTGGCAAAACACTTCTAGGAGGTACGTGCAGAAGTACTTGAATTTCGGATGCTCTGAGTTTTATGCTGAGGTTTGTGTGGGGCTGTCTGCCCTCCCCGCCCGGCAGCAAAGGGAGGAGAAACGCAACGGGGCACTAACACGTGTGCGGGACAGTGTTGGCCACCCTCTGCGACAGAGCAGGGGACGGAGGGGCAGGGACTCCCCGAGGAGCAGCATTTCTGGCAGTACCTAAACGCAGCCTGTCCTACAGCCAAACAAAACCCCTGAGTCCCACTCTTTTTCCCCACCGATTTACACAAACCCACCGGTGTGATTTCCTTCCGCTCCCACAGGTTCATCTGGTGGACAGGAACGGCGTGGGCTTCTGCGGCGCGTCCATCATCAGCGAGAAATGGGTAGTGACGGCAGCGCACTGCCTGCAGCCGGGTGACGATGTCACTGCCGTGGCAGGTGAGCGCCTCGGGCAGCATCGGGCCAGCGCAGGCGAGGGACGGGGGACAGGGCTTGCACTGGCCAGGCACAAGGCATTGCGCAGAAAACCCTGGGACCCACGCCACCACGATGGGCAGCGACGCAGCACAAGCTGCTTTAGGGCACCGAGGCCCCAGCTTGCAGCGTTTTGGCAGCCTGGTCTCTGCAGGTCCCACCGCCTCCAGTGGGAGCGGTGAGCTGGGTCTGGCCTTGGTCCCAAAGCCACAGAGCTGCTGGACCGTGTTGCAAACGCAGCTCAACCTGACCGCAGGCAATCGTCTCACCTCAGCCAGAGAGAACCCCAGGCTGCTTAAAAGGCCGGTGGGCTTCACTTAAGATGCTGCTTCATGAGCTGGTGGGATGGATTTTTATCTCTACTAGCCACATAGGACCTCACTAGGGATTTCTGCCCTTCTTGGGCGGTCACACTAAGTTTTCACACAACTCTCAGAGAATGGATTCGTGTAGCTGGTGCAAGAGGGGCACCAGCAATCTGACTAACTCCTTGCAAGGAGATGACTACTTTTTCTCCTAACTTCTTTAGAATTAAATAGAATTTATGGATTGAAGTAGAGAAACCAGGCTGGCATGTGGAAAGCGTGCTTCTACAGCAGGGTCCCTGGGGAGTTAAGCAGGGGCAATGTGGCCAGACTGCACAGCAAGTGATGCTGCTACTTTACAAAACAAATGTATCATCTCTGCTTGAAAAATGGTGCTTCCCCCCGACTTTTGGTACCCAGCTCTTCCAGACTGCTGATAACTCGGCGTGGGGCCTTGGCAAGCGTCGCGGTGCCATGTTTCACAGCTGTGGCAGAATCAGCTTCCCCAAATTATTTGTTTCTCCCCTGAATGAATATCTAGTATAGGAGGGTTACACTGATAGGTACAGGAGGGGAATGCTGGTGTGGTTGATAATTGCTACAAGCAGCACTGAAAGGAGGCAGGAAAGAATCATGCTTTCTGTTTAAACACTATGAAATGTATTGGTGACAAAAATGAGATTTTACCTGAGCTTTGAAACACTGAGTTTATACCTAGAGGAACAAGCTCATCAAGAGGGCTCCAGCTGCATCCTCATCGTCCATGTTAACACGGCCGAGCTGCTGGGTGTGCCTGGCCAGACCCTGGAGACTGAGCACTGTGGGGCTGGGCACCACCTGCCCAGCGCTGGCAGGATGAGGCTTGCAGCTTGCACACAGCATTTTTTGCTAGCTACTTTCAGACAGTTTTGCTTGAGAGCCCAGCACAAAGCCCAGCCTTATACCCACTAACGTGAGAAAGTACAAAATGCCCAGTGCAAAAGCACTCTTACCCCCCCAGAAAAGCACATTTCCACCTGGACAGAGGTTTGCATTTGCTGCATCTGCATGCAAACTGCCTCTCCTTTGAGGCTCTCTCCTGCCTGTCACACACCCCGCCATTTAGGATACGTTATCAGCCAGGTCCCCTCACGCCACCTTCACACCGCTCTGCAGCACCGTGGGGTTTCCAGGGCAGGATTTTGGACAGGCAGCAAGTCAAGAAAGCAAAACATAATTTTGCAGGGCTTCAGGGACTATCGGATTTGTGCCTGCACCATGGACACTGCATGGGCAACATCTGATTCCTGCATGTCCATTCATATTAAATATTCAGCTTTGTATATAGCATCCTAGGAGGCCCAAAAATCGATAGCAGGGGGTGGAAGAAGCATTCCCCTCCCCTGTCCTTCTTCGCCTCTCCACTTTCATCCCTGAAGCATATTTTCAGGTCCTCAGCAATAGTAAGCAGCTGTAGCATAAGAAAAACCCTCTCAAAGTCTCCCCCACATCTGTCTTACGTTTACACTGTAGCAACACAGCCTGCGAGGAAGCTGACATTCACACTCTGCTGCAAAACAACCCTCTCAGAGCACATCAGCAGCACCAGCCAACAAACCCGCCTTCGTCAGGCGCCAGCATTAACGTGAACACAGAAAGCCGCCTCACCTCTCTCGCTGGGCTCCGTGCCGCTCCTCGCAGGCAGACGCAGCAGACGCAGGACACTGCCAGGGCCAGGAGTGCTGCAGATATTGTTTAGAGGAGATCGTATATTCTGGAGATTACAGCAAAGCATGTAGAAATACCGCAGCAGGGGTTAAATGTACCCTGCGCCTCTTGGGCTGCGAGAAAGCAAGCGGGAAAAGTCATCCTGCTCTCGAGCCTTCAGCACAGCCAGTTCACAGGCAGGAGAGGGGATTCGGCTACAGACAGACCCAAACGCTGCCCGTTCGCCGACCCGAGACCACAGAACATTTTCCCTTCCCTCTACCTGTTACACAAGCCGGGAGGGGAGGTAATAGGCTGCCGGCAACTCAATCACCGGAGCCTGAAGCTGCCGGCAGCACCC